GAGATCTTGTGGCTGCCTATAAATTTATTAGGGGAGGTCAACAGGGAATAGGTGACACGCTGTTTACTAGGGCGCCCCAGGGAGTGACTAGGAATAACGGGTGTAAACTAGTTGAGAGTGGATTTAGGTTCGATATTAGGAAGAAATCTTTCACAGTAAGGGTGGCCAGGATCTGGAATGGGCTTCCAAGAGAGGTGGTGCTATCACCTAGCTTGGAGGTCTTCAAGAGGAGGCTAGATAGTCACCTGGCTGGGGTCATCTGACCTCGGTCCTCTTTCCTGCCAGGGGCAGGGGGTCGGACACGATGATCCATTGTGGTCCCTTCTGACTCTACAATCTGTGAATCTATGTAACTAGAATTAAACTGGAGTGGCTCATGATCAATGTATTTGAGGATAAAGCCAAGGTTGATTCATGATGTGAATGCTAACAAAAAGCACCTCTCTTTACATATTTCTAAATGCATAAAGAACAAAGAAAAGTTATAAAGTCGTTAGTCCAGTGAAATGAGAAGTGAATAAAGTTGAATAAATATTCAGTCCCAAAGGACTGTATAAGAAGAATGAGAATTGGCACCACCCCCTCTATGGCAGTACTGTGTACAGTATTTTTGCTTGTGTGTGAGGAGTGGCTACATGTATGTGTTTAAAATATTCTAATTTATGATTGTCTGTGTTGCCGGGGGGGGGGCGGGCAGGGAGGAAACCTGCAGTTTGAGTGTCCCAAGTGGTATGGACAGCGTCTGTGTGTGACATACAGCAGATTGGAGAGGGAACAGGCTACACTGCTACAAACAGGTCAGGGAGCAGAAAACAGAGCAGCAAGGGAAGGAGATCAGAGTAGCACTTAAGGAGGGTGCAGAGCTAATTTGCAGCACACCTGCAAAAAAAAATTGCCCCCCTCTGGTCTACACGGTATAGAACAGGTACGTCTGAATGCCATAGTTGTAGACCACAGAAATGGCATTCTGCCACACCACAGAAAGCAATCAAACTGCTTGGAGGCAGGTGGGTAAAGAAATACACGTTACACAATTATAGCCTCTGGCATTTAAGGGGAACAGAAAAATAGCACAGGCCTTATATAGGGACTGTTGGGCAAAGAACTTGATACCTGCATGATATTCTCACCTTTTTTAAAGAAGGAATTTGAGGGAATTTACAGCTCTGGGAGTACAAACTTTTCTTGTAGCTGTGGTATACAGTAGCAAGCTCAGGCTTAAACTCTCACTTGCCGCTGTGCTTCATTTGTGACCTGAAAAGTATCTGTTTGTGACCTGGCTTCTCAGTGCTGCTTCCCATTCATTTTTTACCCTTGTTAATGCATGGTTCTCAGAAACCCTTATTACACTAGTGTGATAAGAGTAGATTAAAACCTGCAACTCATTTGAAATGGTCTTGAAAGGTGAAGTGTGGTTTTTCTTAAGCCTTTATTTGGTGGAAGCAAGTAACCTGAACTTGTAGGTGAATCTAGGATTTCCTAAAGGGGAATGCAGCATGCCACCCCTCAGACTATAGGGAAATGGAGGCAAGGCATGGCTAGAGCCCCTGGACAGGCAGGGGATGCAGGAGCTGGGCAGAGAGCAGATGCATGAGGGAGGGACCCATCTGTCCACCATCACTGTCCCTGGCTGACCCAAGGGCAGAGGGATCCCAGAACTGCTCCAAGCCAGGCCTGTAGGGAGTGGCTGCATGGGGAGCCAGCCTTGGCTAAAGACAGCAGCAACAGGGGATAGGTTCCTCCTTCCAGCATCTGCTCCTAACTACCCCCCGCCCCCCACGGTGTCCCCCACCACATATGTAACTATTGTTCTCCTACTCTCCTTGCAATGGCTTCCCATTAAGAAATTTTGTGCCTTTTGAGGTAATTCCAGCCTCGTGAACTTTGGTTTTGGGGGGGGTTCCCCCCCCCCACATCTGGTCTTAATCTAGTAGATGCTAGTGGCTTGGTAGAAGATGGCTCCACCAATTGGTGCTGAGCAGTGGGGCTCCTCAAAATGTCCATAAAATGGGCTCTTTGTACTGGGACAAAGCAGCAAAAATGGCTTGTCTCACCACGAGTTAAGTAGGTCCCTTGTAATGTATTTTAATGTGCATTTTTAGTCTGGGAAACAAAACAAACTGCCATGTTGCTATATTTAATCATTAGTGTTTAATTACCATTCTTGCCTTCTCTCATGCAATATGAATCCCTCAGTCTTACAAAAACTCCTTCTGAAGCCCAGGTGTGTAGCACTCCATGATCAGTTAGCAGAAGTTCTTTAGATATGAGCCGGTCTAACGGTAATAGTGAGGACAGACTTAGGGCAAATTTTGCTCCTGTAGCACAGTCTGTCTGAGGAAAGAGATTTGCCTTTAGATGTTTGTGTGTTAAGGTCTGTGCCCTGTAATTGAACAGTTCAGATTCCCAATGGTGTTACAGTACCCGTTTCATTGAAGTTAAACACTCGGTCAGTTCTAATCAATTGGTTGTGACACAGTTTATGTTAATATCGGGAGGATTTATTAATCTCTGTGACAAAGTGCATGGCTCAGGGGCTGGAGCTCACTGCAGGGGGTCAGAAGATTGATGTCATATACTTGGATTTTAAAAAGGCCTTTGATATGGTCTCCCTTGATGCTCTTATAAAACAACTGGGCAATTGTGGGCTGACAGAGTCCATGGTCACATGGGTTGGAAACTGGCTAAGGGGTCAAACCCAGAGATCATTGGTGGATGGGTCCATATCGTCTTAGCAGGAAGTAGCCAGTGGTGTCCCGCAGGGTTTGGTTCTTAGCCCCATTCTGTTCAACATCTTTATCAATGATTTAGATGAGGATGTGGAAAGCACATTGGCCAAGTTTGCAGATGATAGTAAGTTATGAGGAAGAGCAGTCACACTAGGGGATATGATGTGGATCTAAGCAGACTTGGACAAGCTAGAAAGGTGGGCAGAGTGGATGCAGATGCAGTTCAGTAAGGATAATTGCAGAGTGCTTCATCTGGGGAGAAGTAACCAGCAACATAATATAGGTTAGGAAATGTCCTGGCCAGCATGATGGCTGAAAGGGACCTCAGGGTTATGGTTGATCACAGGATGAACATGAGCTGCCAGCAAGATGCCATAGTCAACAGAGCTAATCAGCTAATGTATCCCAGTATGCTATACATCCCAAACAGGGCTAAGGAAGTAATACTTCCTCTCTACTCGGTGCTGGTGAGACCCCAGCTGGAGTAGTGTGTCCAGTTCTGGGCACCGCACTTCAAAAAAGATGTAGAAAATCTTGAAAGGGTCCAGAGAAGGGCCATAAGAATGATTAAGGGCCTGGAGGACAAACATTATGAGGAAAGACTAAGGGATCAGCCTCACCTCAGCATCACAGAACTCTGTCTGCCTGCCCAGAGTGCTGGGCCAGCTGACTGGGATTGGCTGGCCCTGGCGGAAGTTAAAAGTTCCCAGAGAAATGATGTTGGGAAGAGGAAAGCTGAGAAGGAAGGCAACAGTGCAGTGCTTGCCCTTAATAGAAGGGGATAGCGGGTATTTTATTGAAGTTTTGTTTAGTTTGAGATAGAAAAGGGGGGAGGCTGGCTCTGGGGCTGGGCTAAAGCACTTGCTATAATCTCCTTATTGCTGATGTTGCTTCAAGAGAAGAAGAAATGATCTTAAAATGAAAAGTGATGAACCCTAGAGGGGCTTCCTTTTTTATTTTAAATGCAGGAAGAAACAAAAGTAGGTCTGTAGCTACTACTTTTTATTCCCAAAGTGCACAGCTAGTTAAGTGGGGTAGGCTGAACTGAGGAGTTCAGGAGCTTGAATGCAGAGGATGTCTGGAATTTTCTTTCATTCCTGACACTATCAGGAATCTGTACCCAAAGCACAGGGAAAAACTTGTAAGAAGGGGCTTCAGACCTACCTGTGTGAAGAACCACCTCAGTAAGGATAGTAGATGCTCTCTGCTTACTCCAACAGGTAATAAGGGAGAAAACTAGAGAAAGCTATGTTTTAGAGGTTGAAAATGTAAGAATTCCCTAAAGTCAGTCTGAGTTGGACCTTGCAAAGGTTATCAAAACAGCAAACTTTTTTTTCAGCTATATAAATAAAAAGGGAACAAGGAAAGAAGTGGGTTGTTATCTACCGAAGTTGGGGTAGAGATTTATGATAATCTAAATGTGGCAAAAAATAAAACAACTACTTTTGTCTTACTTTTCAGTAGTTACTGATGTTGACCAAGGGTGCAGAGGGATAGCTGATATTGGGAAGGAGGGTATGGAGAAGCTAACTTTCAGCAAGAGAATGATTTGTTTAGCCTAACAAAACAAGGGGTTGGAGGGCAATAGGATAGCTGTCTGTAAATACAGCTGGAATAAATATCAGGGAATGGAGAGAGCTGTTAAAGCTAAAGGACAATGTTGGCACACAAACACTGGGTATAAAATGGCCACAGACAGATGTAGACTGGAAATTGAAAGAGGAACAGAAATATCCAAGTGCTTTTAAACTGGATAAACTTAAGAAAAGGATTAATAACATTGTGCCTGAAAGAGCAGGGAACTCAACTGGGAGATGCAGAAGGTCCCTTTCAGTCCTACATTCCATGATTTCTTCCCTCTCCCCATTCCTG